AACCATTTCCTGCTCAGAGTGTGAGTATTCAGAAAAGAAGTGCAACCTAAAGAAGAGTGGAAAAAAACTCAGCTGCGCTGAAGTGGAGCGTAACACATACGTGCCCGACGTCTTATTTGTGTCATTAACTGAAATGTACAAATTAATACATTTCAGCGTTGCTCTGTCTGGTTTATTTTTTTAATTGCAAAGTTGCTATGTCATCATCAATGTCCCGTCTGTATTCATACTTGCAAACTTGTCGCTTTTCGGTGAAAATCCCCGATTTCAAGCAAAATGTGTCATTTACGTGAATAATCAGAGGCGTGGTAGATGCCATAATTTCCCATTGACTGGAATTACGTTGCTCTACCTTAGTGCTGCGTTAATGCCAGCAGTTGTTGACCGGGGGTAAGTAAGGATGCGTGAGAGAAGCAGAGCGCTACATATGTAGCATCTTAGCTAGTGCATCTGTACTGTGCACCACTAGCTTAGCGCTACATCAACATTTAAACAATGTCGCTGTCTGCCACATACACCAAAATGTTGCCCTAAGATTGGCACAGAACCCCCCCCACACACACACTATAGGTGCTGTGTTTGTCACATGTTTCTTCTCTTGTGAGTTTGCAGTTATGTGTAATAAATTTGTTGTTTAAGGCCTCGAACAGGCGGTCGCACACTTATGTCATCAGCTCATCACTTAAGCCGCGGCGCACGTCAGCCAGCCTGACTTTGTTATGACCTCTCTTGGCGGCATAGAGGCACACCAGAGGTGGGCTGTCTTTGCCCCCCCCCCCCCCCCAGTTATATTTTTTATTATTATGATGATCTAAGTTTCCTGCTACAAGATTAAACAAGTGCGTGGCCAATAATAACTATTGTGAAAATAATAGTAATATTAATAATGATCATAAATAAATAGACAACAAGAGAAGAGAAACTCCCCCCCCCCACACACACACACACACATACACACTCTCATCCCCCACCCCACCTCCCTGCCTCTGTGTCTTCTGGATGGACTGAGACAGCCAGGATACGTTTCAGTCCTGGACTGAGGCGTGAGGGGAATGAACCTTATGTGGCCCCGGGATGGACTTGCGATCTGCCCAGGGTGTACCCCGCCTCTCGTAGGGACTGCTGGAGACGGGCACCAGCTCCTTATGACCCGGAAAAGAAGAGCAGAAAATGGATGCATAGATTAATACCAACATCACAATCAATAACAACAATTTGTAAAAAAAAATATATATATACCAGTATTTCTGGTCATTGAAGGAAGCTGCCATATTCAAACAGAGCCTGAATAGTATTTTTAAACAACGATGGGTCACATATCTTTGTTTAGAAAGTAACCCCTCCACTTAAACTTTAGTACAGTAGGTACAAAAACTTCATATGCATCCTGTGCTCCGAACATAGCTTAACACTTAAGCTGTATGCTAATCATGTTAACTGTGTGATAAGCACTTTGGTTGGCACACAGTATATTTCCTTAAGATGTTTTTGGAACTTACATTATTTTTACATTTTTATTGTCAGAGACTAAAGGTGCCTCACAAGACAGAATTCTGGGTCCCCAAGATACGATTTTAATAATATGAAAAGAAAAGAATAAAACACTTTTGCCACAAACTCAACTGACTGGAATTTGTCCCGAGTATTTTCAGATCTTAGAAAGTATTATCTAGTTGTTGTTCCCTTCCAAGTTCTTATTAAAACCAACTTTTAACGTTGATATTAAGACAAAA